TAAGGCCAATACTTCAGGGACCCAACAGTGGGAGGGGGAAAAAACTTTACATAAGAAGCTAGGGTGAGGACTGATGGTTTTCAATGTCTCTACAGTAATGGACAGAGCATGGGAAAGAAGCAAGATGAGCTTGAACTCCTACCAAAACAAAGCAAATACAATATAATAGGCATCACTGAAACCTGATGGGATGAGTCTCATGACTGAAATGTAGTAATAGAGGGATATAACCTTTTTGAGAGAAATAGGCCAAACAGGAAAGGAGGAGGAGTAACATTATATGTCAGGGATGTTTACACCTGTGAAGAGATCTAGAATTTAAATCCTAGAAGCCAGGTGGAGAGTATCTGGATAAAAAATAAAGGGGAGGGAAACAACAGGGATGTTATTGTGGGAGTCTACTACAGACCCACAAATCAGACTAAAGAATTAGATAATGCCTTTCTAGAATGGATGGCTACACACTCAGAAAGGTGATATGTAGTAGTGATGGGTCATTTCATCTCTCCTGAAATTTGCTGGAAATCAAACAGCCAAAACATTAAGGTCTAGCAAATTTCTTACTTGCCTGGAAGATAATTTCATTGTCCAAAAGGTGGAAGAGGCAACAAGGGGTTCAGCCATTTTATCATAACCAATAGGGATGACCTGGTAAATGGGGTGCAAGTGGTGGAATCCTTAGGTGGGACTGGTCATGTTTTCCTGGAGTTTGTTATACAGTGGAAAGGAGAAGCCAGGCATTGTCAGACACACATTCTAGACTTTAGGAAAGCTGGTTTCAGTAAACTTAGGTAAATACTGGATATAATTGTAAAAGAGAAGGGAGTTCAGGATGGATGAGAATTTCTCAAAAGGGAGATACTGAAGACACAATTTCAGACTGTTCCAATGAGGAGGAAAAATGGGAGGTGTTTTAGGAGACCAGGATGGATGACTAAGGAAGAGTCAAAACAGATCAGCAGAATATGCTGGCTTCCCGGTGGCTTGAGGGAATGGTGTATACACAATGCACACCCCCAAGATGCCCCTAAGTTGCTGGGAAGCTATCCACCTGACCATATGGCAACATCTTTTTGGCACTCAGGTGGTACAGTGTTTACATGCCGCACACTACAGGAGCATGGAAAAACTGCCACCACAGCAGAAAAGGTGGCTTTTTCCTGGTGCAAAAAGAAGTGACTTTCTGTTCCTTCTTTATGCTCCAGGAAAATGCCAGGTTGGGGCCATGGCATGTGGTTGCCGCTGCTCAAACCTGGCTATCAAAGGGATGGCATGATGCTGCTTCTTCGGGACCATCTGTTTCAGTCCAAACTTTCAACTGAGCTAAGTTTTAAATGGGACATACATAAAAAAAAATGGAAAAGGGGGAAAATCACCAAGGAGGAATTCAAACAAATAGCTAGTGCATGTAGGAGTAAAGTCAGAAAAGCAAAAGCACAGAATGAGCTCAGGCTTGCTAAAGAAGTTAAGAACAACAAAAAGGGCTTATTTGGGTATGTCCTTAGCAAAAGGAGAAAGGAAATGGTTGGGCCATTATGTTGAAAAGATGACAAAATGCAAACAGGAGATAGAGAAAAGGCAGAATTACTGAGTATCTTCTTTGCCTCAGTCTTCTCAGAAAAGGAAAGGGGTGCTCAGCCTGAGGAAAATGGTGCAGAGGATGCAATTGGAGAAATTCAGCACAGGATAAGCTAAGAGGTAGTATAGGAATATCTGGTTTATTGAAATGAATTTAAGTCTCCAGGATCAAGCGTATTAAAAGAACTGACAAACATAATCTCAGAGCCATTGGCAATAATTTTTCAAAACTCCTGGAGAACAAGAGTAGTCCCAGCAGACCAGAAAAAGACAGACATCCCCATCTTCAAAAAGGGGAAAAAGAGGATCTCAATAATTATCACACAATTAGTCTGACATCAATACCAGGAAAGATTCTAGATCATTAAACAGAGAGCCTGTGAACATTTTGAATGGAATGCCATAATCACAAAAAGTCAACATGAGTTTCAGAGAAACATGTCATGCCAGACTAATCTGATCTTTTTTATTTGATAAATTACCAGCTTGGTAGATGAAGGGATATAGCATACCTTGATTTAAATAAGGCATTTCACAAGGTCCCCCATGATATGGTTGCAAACAGGCTTGTAAAATGTGGGCTAGGCAAGGCAACTATTACATGGATTTGTAATTAGTTGAACAGCCAAACCCAAAGGGTGCTCAGCAATGGCTCCTCTTCATCCTGAAAGAAGTGATCAGTGGGGTGCCACAGGGTTCTATCCTGGGTTCAGTGCTATCCAACATTTTATCAATGACTTGGATGAAGGAATAGAAGGCATGCAAATGACAGCAAATTAGGAGGAGTAGCTAATACCCCAGAAGACAGAATCAAAATTCAAGACCTGAACAGATTAGAAAGCTGGGCCAAAGCTAATAAAATGAATTTCAACATGGAAAATGTAAGGTACTGCACTTAGGGTGGAAAAATGAAATGCATCGATATAGGATGGGGGGCACCTGGCTTAACAAGACTACTTGTGAAAGGGATCTAGGAGTCCTAGTAGACTACACATTGAACATGAGTCAACAGTGTGATGTGTTATGACTGAATGTCTTCCATATTTTGTATTTGCATGATTTTCCTTCATAGTCCTAGATGGAACTGTAGATGTGAGCTGTCATGGATCCAAAAGCAGGCAAACCACATACGCAGGGCATTGAAATAGAGATCAAATGGTTAGCTTAGGAGCCTCTATCAGGAAAGATTTACACCTTTTCAAAGCAGAAAGGCTAGGTAATTTATGGCTTCTGCCACAGCTGGAGAAGACCCATTGACACTTCTGAAACCCATCTATATTGAGTGATCTTTGCTATGTAGATTTGGAATCTTTGAAGTGTAGTAAACAAACTTTGCCTTAGGCTAGTTTTGGCCCATTTAACAACTTCCAAATTCTGTCTGCTGGTTGAAATTCCTGGTGACTCCACGTCCCTTTGAATCTTGACTCAGCTCTGACTCACTGTCTTCTCTGTATGGCCGAGTCCATTTTTTGGTAATTATCACTGTTAGCAAACCTTTTGTCCATTCCAATGCTAACTCCTATATTCCTGAGTCCCTTTGAGTGTGTGTGAGTGAGTGATTGTACTAGTTTGTGTGTTCCTAATAAAATTACAAGTCTCTAGAAGAGTTTCCCTCTGTAGGTTTACTGTCCCTAGCCCACTCTGTATAAATTGGGATGTATCCCGGGCTAATTAGTTGAGCTAGCTAAAAAGTCTCCTAGGTTCAAGTTACATAATAATTGATGGAGAAAGTGCCGGCATCCTCTAAAGTTTGGATGTTCCAGCCTCACAATTGGGTTGTTCAGATCCCAGATGTAGAGGTTAAGAGGGATAGAGATGAGACAGATTCAAAAATAAATTTGTGTTTGTGTTCTTGTATGTTTGTCCCCAAAAGCTTGGTTCTATTGTGGGTTGGCTGCACTTAATTCATTCTGTAGTTGGATGTCTTATGCACTGGCAAGGTGCAAGTATCTGGTGGTGAGCTCCAGTCATACTTGGGAGTGGTGTCACCCTTTGCGTTCAGTCAGTCAACCAATTACTAATTCATCTAACAACTGTATTGTCTAGCCCACATTATATGATCCTGCTTGCAAGAATATCAGGGGGGACCTTGTCAAAAGTCTTACTGGAATCAAGATATGCTATGTCTACCACATTCCCTTCATCTACCAAGTTGGTAATTTTATCAAAAAAAGAGACCAGATTAGTCTGGCATGATTTATTTTTGAGAAACCCATGTTGACTTTTTGTGATTATGGCATTCCCTTCTAAATGTTCACAGTCTCTCTGTTTAATGATTTGCTCTGTAATTGATGTCAGACTAACTGGATGATAGTTGTTGGGATCCTCTTTTTTCCCCTTTTTGAGGATGGGGACAATGTTTGCCCTCCTCCAGTCCACTGGGACTTCTCCTGTTCTCCAGGAGTTCTCAAAGATTATTACCAGTGGCTCTGAGATTACATTCACCAGTTCTTTTAATATCCTTGGATGTAAATAATCTGGTCCTGGAGACAAATTCATTTAGATTAACCAGGTATTCCTGTATTACCTCTTTACTTATTCTGTGCTGCATTTCTCCTATTGTGTCCTCTGCTCCATTTTCCTCAGGTTGAGCACCCTTTTCCTTTTGTGAGAAGACTGAAGCAAAGAAGATGTTGAATGGTTGCGTTTGCTCAGTAATCTGAGTGAGGTGGCAAGGAAAATTGAGAAGGTTGTAGATTAGAATGGTTGTAGGCTAAAATGGTCATTAAAATCACACATGAAACATGTTGCAGAACACTCATGGTGGGAAAGTCTCGACTGGTTTGCCACTGGACAAGCTATTTTACACATGCTAACAACCCAATTGCCATAATTTTGTGTGTTCATATTGCCACAGTAGTGGATTTTTTTAAGCCTCATATGCTGGGTTAAGAAACAGCTGGCAGAATTCCTTGATGTCAAGTCATGCCTTCCCTGCATACCCTTGTCCCCCTCTTCAAGCCTCATTTGCAAGGAGGAGGAAGATAATTCTGTTATTTAAAATATTATGGAGTGGGAGGGGGTATTGGGGAGCTCCAGCACTGGAGATCCCTTGATCCAAAATGCCACAGGTGTTGAGTGTGGAGAAGGAGGTTTTTGCAGCAGAGTGGCAGCATCCAGCAACAGCAGCAGCTCCAAGGCCTCCCAGGGCCAAGGAACCTTTAAAAGCAGGCACCAGCTCCTTTCCCAGAGTCCCTGGGCACGGTGGAGAAGGCTTTTGCAGCAGAGTGACAGCAGCAGCTCCAAGGCCTTCTAGGGCCAAGGAACCTTTAAAAGCAGGCACCAGCTCCCTTACCAGAGTCCCTGGGCATGGAAGAGGAGGCTTTTTGCAGCACAGGGTTTTATTGGCAAGATTTGTTCCTGAGGGATTTGCATTGCCTTCCTCTGAGGCTGAGTGTGACTTGTCACCTAGTGTGTTTCCATGTTTGAGCAAGGATTCAAACCCTGGTCTCTAGAGTCATAATCCAGCACTCAGACCACTACACCATTCTGGCTTAACTTCTGGAATACTTCATTCATTTCTGAACACCCATTTTAGGAAGAATATAAACAAGTTGTCACAGGTTCAGAGAAGGGCTACAAAGATGATAAGAGCTAGGGAGAACAAAATATATGAGGAACAGTGGAAAGAATTCAGCATGTTTGGAGTGGTAAAGAGAAGATGGAGGGGTGACATAATTGCACTCTGAATATCTAAAGGGCTGCCATAGAGAGGAGGGCCTTTCTAACTCTATGATACCATGATTCACTCATAGGTAAGCACTCTGGGCTCCTGCTTCATACAGCAGGCTGAAATATTTATTGGTAAGCTAATTCTATATCAAGGGTTCCCAGTCTGGGGTTCCTGCAACCCAGGGGTGTGTGAGATGGAATTTTAGGGGGTGTGACAATGAGTATCTTGTGTCCCTGAGTGACATGTCATCACTCTTTCTTTTCTGATTAAACTAGAATATAATTGCTCAAGTTAGATGTGCATTTTATGCACTGAATTAAAAGCTTACTCTTTAAGTTCAGTTTATTCACCCACAGCATTACATATGATTCAATTTGTCTAATTAAAAAATTAGAAGCTAGACTCCTTAATCTTCAAATGTTGTATTACTTTTATAGAGGGTATGAACATTAATCAAACAATTCCTAGTGGTGTGGGGCATAGAAAAATTTGGGAACCACTGCCCTATAGATTTCATATTGCCTACCCTTGAGGCATAAAGATTAAATAATCTTTTCTCTCTGTCTCAATGCTGGCAAAAGGCATGCCACCAGAAACAATATCCCTGTAGCAAATTATTTTGTAGCATTTGTCAGTACTTTTTAGTTGATTAATCTCCATCATATGGTCAACATCCTCACTTCTGCAAGCAAAAATCATTGGCATAGTGACAAGGGCAGGGACACCCAATATGTGTGGATAGGCTGTAGGAGCATCAAAATTCCTGGCATGGACAGCTCTAGTTCAAATCATAGAATTGTAGAATCATAGAGTTGGAAGAGACCACAAAGGCCATCCAGACCAACCCCCTGCCATGTAGGAACTCAAAATCAAAGCATCCCCAACAGATGGCCATCTAGCCTCTGTTTAAAGACCTCCAAAGCAGGAGATTCCACCACACTCCAATGGAGTGTATGCCACTGTTCAACAGCTGTCACTGTCAGGAAGTTCCTCCTAATGTTGAGGTGGAATCTCTTTTCCTGTAGCTTGCATCTGTTGTTCTGGGTCCTATTCTCTGGAGCAGCAGAAAACAACCTAGCTCCCTCCTCAATATGACAGCCCTTCAAATATTTGAACAGAGCTATCATATCACCTCTTAACCATCTCTTCTTCAGGCTAAACTTACCTAGTTCCCTAAGTTGTTCCTCATAGGGCATGGTTTTCAGACCCTTCACTATTTTAGTCGCTCTCCTCTGGACATGCTCCAGTTTTTCAACATAATTTTTGAATTGTGGTTCCCAGAACTGGACACAGTATTCTAGGTGAGGGCTGACCAAAGCAGAATACAGTGACACTATTACTTCCCTTGACCTAGATACTATACTTCTATTGATGCAGCCTAAAATCGCATGATTAGATCAGCTCTGAACCATGAGAGGTGAGGGTGCCTGAGATTCATGTCACCACTAGGCACCATGAACCTCTGCTATTGGCTGGAGTACAGGATGAGGATCAGCTGGAATGGAGAGGGGGAAGCCAGGAGGATAAAAGAATAAGCATGCTATATGAGGTATATTGGGGAAGAATGGAGGGTGTCCAGAAGCTTTCAGGAGACAAGACAGAGGGAGAAGATCTGGAGGGAGGTGAAGTTTTGAATGAAGGCTCAGCAAGGAATGAGAATGGTCAGACCTTCAGAGGAAAAATAAAAGTCAAGAAAGGCAAGGAGCTGGGGTTGGAGAATTAGGGGGATGCAAATGGGTGGCCCTGGGCTGCCCCAGGAAATGGAGGATCAGGGCTGCTGGACACGTTGGCCCCAATCCTCCCTTTTGCTGGCCCAGAAAAGAGTGGCAAAATGCCACTCCTTTCAGAGCTGGCAAAAGGCCATCCTAAGAGCCACCGTTCAGCTCTTTGGTGCCCCTTCCACTGCAGCACATCAAAAGGCTGCACTGGAAGGATGTCCTGATGCTGCGCACTGTGCGTAATGTTGCGTGGCATCAGCACGTCTTCAGGGAGGGGTTGAGGTGGCTGGTGTGCAGCTGCTCCTCCCCATCCCTGAATCCTGGACGGCCCAAAGGCCCATAGTTTCCTTGTGTTTGCCACTGGGGTTTACTGGTTGAGCCCTGAAGGAAGGCACTGAAGACTCAAGGAATGAGGAGGATGGCTGGTTGGGAAATGAAACCCTGTGGTATCCGTTCCTGGCCTCCACCATGACCAGATGTGCTAGGAGATGGGAGCAAGGTGGGGACAGGACAATATCCACAATGCTCCTAGCGAGAGTTAATGCCTCCCAGCAAGCATACAGCTAGTAATCTGACTGGTTTTTTTAAGAAGAGCATATTTCTCTTCTCTGCCCATTATTACCTAATCAATTGATAGGAGCAGTTTGTTGCAGCTAATAGGCAGAACCAACTCCATGTGGCAGTGGAACTCCATGTGGCAATGCTAGTCTTTACCTGCTTTAGAATCATAGACTCATAGAGTTGGAAGAGATCCCAAAGGCCATTAAATCCAACCTTCATCTCCTGGGGCAGATCATGAGCCTCTGTGCAATGTCCAGCACAGAACAAAGAGAATTATCCTGATGCAAAGAAATCTACACCCTTCAGAGGTGTCGTCACTATTGGTCAGTTTCCTGAAATTGGAACTACCGTAACTAAACTATCATCCTATATTTATGAATTAACATGTGTGGCTTGTATCTAAACACTGGAATTCTCCAACCTTTAGAAGCTAACAAAAAAGCAAGAACTACATAAATTTGCAAACATCCAAGAGAACCTGGCTTTTGGTAAAGAACTACCTGGTAACTATAAACATTTCTTTACTGTTTCTCATTTAATGATCACTTAATTAATAACTTGATTTTGGAATTAGATTAATGCTGATATTTCAGTCAGTTAAGTTAAAAATTAATTTGTTAAAGTTACCCCTTTTAATTAGAATATTTCAAACTTAATTGATAATGTAGTTGATTTTATCTAGTTAGTTCCTATCTCTAGGTGTGGCAAATCTGTGTCTCTGCACTTTCAACAGAAGTGAGGTAGAACAGGTGTAAGACACCCTTTGGAAATTATCAGATGTGGGAAAAGCTAGGAGTAAAAAGCATACTCCCAGCATAATCGCACGATCATGCAGAAGATTTTCAGATGACATAGTACTCATCCAGGACCTATCCCATGAAGATACTGGAATGCTCCTGGGACTTTCCCATGAATGGTTTGCTGCTGGAACATTCACAGGATAAACCCTGGATGAGAGCAATGTGTCTGAAAATCTTTAGCAATATCACGTGATTATTCTGGGGGTATTTCTTTTACTACCGGCTTCCCCTGCCCCTGTCTGATAATCTCCTTTGTCTCTTCTTCAGCAATAGTGCCACCAGCATTCAAATTTGTAGTAACTCTTATATTCTAGTTATGTAAAAGCCGCAGTTAGACACTTAACGAAGAAGGATAAATGCCTCTCACCTCCTTACGAATTAGGTTAGAATCAGCAGCACATTGGTTAACCACACCTTCAAACTAGGAAGAAGGGTATATCAACTCTAGTTTCGATTTCAGTACATTTATTAATGAGCCCAAGCACACAGGAATTCACAAATAGTTGCTTTTAAAAAATGAATAACCAATCTATAGCTAACTAAACATCTAAACATTTTACGAATGATTCACCAAATACTTTAAGTGGAAGGACACCCAGGACTTCCTGCTATAACTTTTTGTCTGATGTTGCTTCTTTGATGAAGAAAGTCAAAGGATATTTCTTTCACACTGGTATTTTTTGGGAGGCTAGCACCACCATAAGTTATTTTTTTAATGAGTTTTATTAATTATGAAAAAAATGACACATAAACAACAATGAAACATGCAATATACATACAAAAAATGAGCTAAACATAACTAAGAGAGAAAGAAAAAAATATAAGAAAAAAAGGACAAAAAAAAAAAAAAGAAAAATAGGGGGAAAAAAAGAAGGGGCAAAAAAGAAAATACCCCTATTGACTTCCTGGATCCTTTGCGAAGTCATTTCTGCCTTTCATGTTCAGGTTCTCCTTCCTTCTTAATTACAGATTAATCTGAGATTTAACCTATTTACATCAGCATTCTCTTCACCTATATATCTATATACATATAATTAATTTATCAGACATAATTGTGTATTACTGTCACCCTTTACATCTAAACATCACCATTTACAGCACATTTTGCTCAGTCATCTCTCCCATATTTTACTTATCATTTTGTATTATTTCTGTTATTGATATAATTTAACAATGGCTGCCAAATTTTTTCATACTTTTTCCAGTTTTGTTCTCTAAACATTATTGTTAATTTGCCCATTTTCATCAATTCAAATAATTTCCTTAACCAGTCCTCTTGGTGCGGTATTATTTCACTTTTCCATTTTGGGGCATATACCATTCTTGCACTAATAATCATATAATACAATAGTTTCCCATGGTTTGATTCCAAATTTTTATCCAAAAAGATATTTAATAGATACATTTTAGGGTCCAGACTTATTTTCGTTTCTAAATTTCCTCCATCATTCTATGAATAGCCATCCAATATTTTTTAGCCTTTTTACAATTCCACCAGAGATGGTACAGGGTCCCTTTTCTTCGATTACACTTCCAACATTTATCTGAAAGTCCTTTATAAATTTTAGCTAGCTTAGCAGGGGTCATGTACCACCTGTGGTGCATCTTGAGGAGATTTTCCTTCACATCATAACTAGCTGTATAATTTTGGATTTGGGTCCAAACCTTTTCCCATTGTTCTAATCCTATTACGTGTCTTATATCTTGGGACCACTTCACCATGTAATCTTTCACCACCTCTT